TGTTATTATCAATATAATTTATCGGGTTGCAATATGTCGCACAAGATCTAGTTGAAGGTGATAGATATATTGTGTTGAAGTTGTACGACGATGATACTGTAACGGTCGCCCGCAAGGATTTACCAGGCAACTTTGAAGGTAGTAAGTAGCTGGAGAATCAAATAATATTGGGCAGGGTCGACGGAGTGTGGTATTATATTGTAAATATGAGAATTTCAATTCTTAGTATTCGTGATAGCCTTTTTTCTTAAGATGATTAGTTGTTCAAAAGAATAGTGTTGATCGGTAGGGTTTATCATCGTTGTATTAGTACCGTTAGCATAGGGGATGGCAAATGTAAATATATGTTGCCGCTTCGGTCGGGGTTGTCCTTGGAGGTTCATTTATTTCTATTTCTCCCGGCGATGATTTATCTCGGTCGGATAAGGATAAAAGATTTTGAAACTCGTTTGCTTAGGTTCCTTTTACTATTCTTTTCATATCTATATGTATACCTTGGCTATGGATAATCCCTGTCCTTCATCCTTTCAATACGATGTGATTGCTGTCAAACAGAGAAAGCTGTTTCATCTTCCAAATGTCGCGCGCGTACAGAGAATTATTCCAGCGACAAAACCAACCCAGTTAAACTCACATATGACACTCTGGGCTAGCTAGCTAATCTACAATCCGTAGTATACTTGATTTCACGATAAGCTCAAAGTAGAGATGCGTCCGGATCTCCCATCTGCAAGCTGCAAGCTGCACTGCAGCCTGCGACCGACGGAACAGCAGCACGCTAGGCCCCAGCCAACCTCCCTAGGGCCTAGTGGCTTGTTTAGCCAGGAACACCCGGTGGTTTGGTCCCTTGTTTCCCCTGGCTTTCCCTGTTGCAGGTTGCTGACCGGGCGCTTTTCCCTCCACAGTCTGACCAAATAAACTGTTTCATGTTCCTTCACACCAACTTGTTAGATCGCTGATCTGCATCTTCTATAGGATAAGCCGATTAATTATGGCACTCCTGAGCATGCCCCAACCACACCCGACGAACTGCTCCCACCACTCGGACCAGCGAACCAGAAGTAGGAGTGCAGGGCTGCTCGGCCACTCATCGAGGCGCACTGCCCCCCTTGGCTGCTCCTGGGGGGAAATTGAAGTCGTTCGCTTATATTTAGCAGCGCTCGCTTGCCAGGCAGGATGCTGGAGCACTCGATTGCATCGGGTTATGGATAATGCTTCGCTTCTCCGCGAATGTCCCTTTATTGTGGATGGGATAAGAAAATAGAAACTACTCTAATCGACGCAACATGAGTTCATCTTGCAGGTCCTGCACCCGATCGGCGCGATGATGCATGATCAGCGACAGCAGATAGGATTGTGCAACACCCCTCGAGAGCTTGGTACACAGGCAGGAGAAGTATTGAGCGGAGTGGGCCCTTCAATATCCCTAATTATACAGAGTTTAGGTCTGTCGACTCACTAGATCTCCCAACAACCAACCAAAAGACATTATCGATCATCCCTCTTAAATTCTTTCCCTGAGAGCCATATTATCTGCTGGAATCTATGTTTAGCAGACGAAGAGTGTAACACTCTGAGCGAAAAATGGGACCATGGCCATTGTCTTACCCTGGTTTGTGACTGCGCTCAGCTTACATTGCTAGTAGCTTGCCGGGATGGCCAACTTTCCTGATCGGCGGACGGTTCCTTTATAATGTATCTATTACCCCTCCTGCTCTTGAGCAGTCCTTGGCTTGCCCTGCTCTTTATTTTTGCCACTCTCCTTTATCACGATCTTTCTTGTCTTTGTGCCCTACGGACGCCTTTTGACGTCCTTCCGCTCTTTAAAAGTTGTTTACGCTCGAACATTTCGCAAGGCTTGCCATTCTTTTGTATAAGTTCTAGTCGATTCCTTCGTTCTTACTATTTGAGACGAGTTCTGGTTGATTCCAGCTGATTGTTCGTGGCAAAGACATGAGTAATGCAACTGAGTACTGAACAGAGACCCTAGATTCCTGGTATCAGTCCCATTCCAAGGAATCAACAAGACAAGTATTGATCGGCGAACGTCACCCTTGTTTATCCTAGGGAAGAGAATGTAAGTTGTTACTCTTCCTTCTTTTCTCTCCCCATAAGGAGCTTGCTTGGTGGATTTATTCTGCATCAGCCTTCGCCTTAAGTTGCATCCACGCGAAGGCTGGTGGCGAGTGAAGAGAGCAGCCACTGGACTTGGTATGCAAGGGATCCCCTTGCCTTCAGTCTGCCATCTACTTGAGCCCCGATCTTACAGATTGGGCGGCCGAGCGCGCTATAACAGTTTGGTGTCCGTTCCAGAGTTTGTCGGAACTATTCCAGATTGCTTTGTCATTGTTGTTGTTATTCCTGTTCTTATACTATGGCTGCCACCCGCGTTGGCACTTGCTTTCCCTATACCAAGTAGTATTGACGGTTCCATCGCAGTGACTTTTCTTCCTTTCGACTTTTTCATTCTTTGCTGGTCACTCCTTACTACATTTGATGGCTTGAAGCTTTGACTTATACTTTCGGCGACGCGTGTAGTCGATAAATTCGCTCATTAAACCTTACGCTCGCTACCGCGCGTTTATTCATCTCTCTCTCGCTCATTTGAAATACCTACTATCAACCATGCGACGAAACGTCGCCCTTGTGGCCTATCTGGTCGCGCTTTCTAGCGTTGCTGACGCCTTTTGGCGTCTCCCTTGTCGTGGACGAAGTGGTGTGGCTCGAATTGATCCCATAATGGCCCCCGGGAAACCATCAGACCACGTCCATGTGGTTCACGGATCAGGAGGTTCGTCCGGCTTCAGTGTGTCTGCATAATATTGCCCCCGCTAAATTTGGCTTAATAGGTTTCTCTATGACATCGGGCGAGACAGCCCTGAACAATGCGGATTGTACCTCATGCGGGGTGAAGCAGGACAAGTCGGCTTACTGGGCCCCCGCGCTATACTTCATGCATGAGAATGGCGATGCTGAGCTTGTCAACGAAGTGGGCGGGATGCTTGCGTGAGTGACGAAGCTAATGTCCAGCGCAGTTATATGCTAACTGACTGTCACAAGTTACTACTTCCTCAACGGACAGAATGTGACGGCATTCCCTGAGAACTTTCGTATGATTGCCGGCGACCCGTTTCTGCGTAACTTCCCTTGGCCAGTCCCCGATCCTCCAAAGTCCGAGTGGTCTGGCAATCAATCATCACAGGACGCTCTTCGCCAGAAAGCCCTGGGTTTCAACTGCCTGGACTATAGCAAAACTCCCGAGCCGTCGCTGGGCCGCCACTTCCTGCCAAATAAGACCTTCATGGATGAGCACTGTACTGATGGTGTCCGATTTGAATTGATGTTTCCGTCATGCTGGAATGGCAAGGATGTTGACTCCAAGGATCACAGGTCGCACATGGCCTACCCATCCCTGGTCATGGACGGGGATTGTCCGGATGGCTTCGAGACCCGCCTTGTGTCGCTCTTCTATGAGACTATCTGGGACACATATGCGTTTAAAGACAAGCAGGGCACTTTTGTTCTTGCAAACGGCGACCCAACTGGATACGGCTATCATGGAGACTTTATCTACGGCTGGGATGATGGGGTTCTTCAACAGGCAGTGAATAACTGCACCAACCTGTCTGGTCGGGTGGAAGACTGTTCTATATTCCATCTTCAGACAGATGCCGAGCAGGCGCAGTGCAACTTCACGATGCCAGAAGAACTAAAAAGCGAGAACGTGTACCTTCACAAGGGTGGCTTGCCGAATAATATTGCCATCCAGTATGGGCCTGCGTATGCAAGCCCAGTCCGGTATACCAACACTGGCCATCATACTTCGGCAATATTGCCCGAGCCAAGCATTGCCATTGGTGCTTCTCTCGATGGGGCTACTGTTGATCTTGGGAACATCCACATTGGCGTAATACTGGGTGCCCCGTCTACTACTTCTACTTCAACTACCCACTCGACTTCAACTCTCCCATCCACGACACAGTCTTCGACCTCGACCACTTCAGCAGCTTCAGCGGCTTCAGCCTACTTTCTCCAAACGACCACTTCAACTACACCCACCACCACCTGGACACCTACTCCCACTACTGCTTATGTTGAAGGCGTTGTCACACAGAAGATTGTGTACGTTGAGCAGGAGATCCTTATTCTCACGGATGAAAACGGAGCACCTGTCACCACAGAAACAGGTGGATTGGAGACAGTCTCCACTTCTACATCCACGGTGAACAAGATTGTATCAACAGTCGTGACCACGCCAACTGAGGCTCCTGCCAAGCGTGATGAGCATAATCATAGCCATTCCCGGCATGTCCATCGGCGTCATCGCCACGGACATGCCCATCGAAGATGATCCATCTTACTCTCTGAAAGCGACTGGCGCGTACGATGAAATGCCTATGGCATAAGCCCCCAAGCAAAAATCGGCCCTTGGTCCGGTCTAGCCTGAACTGGGAAATTTCGAGCTGGTTCCCTTGACTTCGTTTCTCTGGATGCAGTTTCATTGTTTCGGTTCTCCATGTATGAATGTCTATAACATGTACATAATTATTGTTTGTTCCCCCTTGTCTGGAACAGGTGAAAATCGGGCTACTATCTTGCTGTTCTCTTGATGAGAGCTGTGATATGTCTTGTCAGATATGGTGTCAAATATTATGTGGATGAATATGTTCTGTCTATTGCAGTATGCTGCTTTATCCCCAATTAGCCCTATATCTCGAATCACCGACATTACACATCTTTCAGTAGTAATCGAGTGGGGTGGCAGTTTGGTCTGGATCTGTCAGTGAATTTGCCTCTAGCCTACTAAGTTAACACTCAGATCTGAAGGCTAACACTCAGTATGCCTGACCTTTATCTATCTCTGTTCCGCTTAACCACCCATTTCATTACCAATACCTTGCTCTCTCCGATCCAACAATACTCCATCTCCTATGCACAAAGCCTGCCTCACGTATATCTCACAGATCCCCACGTCAACTCAAAAGCCACGCTTCACCGACATGCCACTTAGAATCACATCCAGCCACAAAGCCGTCTACGTGCCGTCATCCGACACAGCACCCGACTCATCCGACCTGTCCGAGCTATCCGAAGATGACGATCTCGGCCCAGACGACTCTGAAGAAGATGACACCCTCTTCGACCATACCGGCTACGAGATCGGACCCGCAATAGCGACCAGACAGTTAAGTATACACCATTACAACGTGAAGGAATGGGATACTCGAGACGCGTACCGGGAACTGTACAAATATTGGTATTTAAGTTGTGCTATCATCCACCTCATTTCCAGCCCTACTTACCTATCTCCCCTCCCTCCAGGAAACAAACAATCATCAAATCCTTCGCCATAGAAGATACCTTCCACCATGACGACTCCGAAACCCACAACAATATCACAGTCAAGGCCCTAATCCCAACATGGCCCGGATATATGGGGTTTATTCGGTATAGCAAAACAACAGGAACAATCACGTTTATTAATGCCGATGCATACCTCCTACAATCCACAAATACCCCAGAAGACAACAATAACAACAACGACGCCCTCTTCCAATTCCAAAATGACCGACTCAAAGCCGTAGCGCACGTCCTACTCCTCTCGGGATTCAACATCCAAATAACCTCCCGAAACCACATCTGGACATTCAACCTACCCCTCTCTCCAGTTCCCTCCCCCTCCCCTAACAAAAACAACCCACGAGTATCATGTACCGTGAACACCCTAGCCTACACCTACACCCACACCCACTTCCCCAACAACAACCTCACCATAACCATAACCACCACCTCCCAATCCCTCCAACCACAAACCTTCCGCACCTGGCTGCACACATCCCTGCACCTCACCCTCCCATCCCAAAATAAAAATACAATCCCCACCCCCCACGGCACCATCCTCCTCGACCCCACCCACTCCGGAACCCTCTACCTGAACGGGATCCTCCTCCCGGAGTCCAGCTTCCCCAGGGCACAATACAAATACGGATATGATTTCCAGTACGGGATATCTACTACGAGTGGGAGAAGGTTAGCGAGTCCGCTGCATGAACTCGATCTGGTTTGTTGTATCTGGGATGCGGCGATTTGCGAGAAGTCGGTGTATGCGGTGCCGAGGTTTGTGGATATGGTTTTGGGGAGGCCGTGGGTGGTTGATATTATGGGGCTGGATGATGGTGGTGGGATGGGTGATGAGGCGGTTGAGGCGGTGTGGTGGGCGATTGTGGTGAGGGGGTATTATTGTTGTGAAGAGGTAAGTTCGTTTTTTTTAGGGGTTGTTTTGATTATATGGTAGGGGCAGGTTGCTGATGGTATAGTACTGCAAGGCTGGTGAGATTAGGAGGGTGCTGGGGAAGGAGTCGGTTAAGGTTCCGGTGGGTTTGTGGGGTGCGTTTCGGAGGTTGGGGTTCGTAGGGGGGGTTTTGGAGAGGGATGGGAGGGAGGAGGGGGGTGGGAGGTGAGATGTGGTGGTTTGGTTATTCTTGGAGGGAGGGATTGACGTCTGTGATGCGTTGTATGAGTAGGTTGTTGTTGTATTGATTTAAGTCAATTGAGTATTATTCAATCCATTATAGCAATATGTACATCCACCTATGGCTGGGTGGTAGTCACCCCGGTTCAAACAACCCAACAGCTAATTTACTGGCAAGTTCCAGTGCTGGCGTTCTCCTCTTGCTATTACACGCATTCATTCCGTTAGCTTTATATGTACCATTGAAGTAGAGATAGAAGGATACTCACAACGCAGAGTCCACTCTGACAGTTGCCCATGCTTCCATCCTTGTTGCAGGTTGCGCCGGAGGGGAGCTTTAGATTTCTTGTCAGTACTCATGGTCATAGCATGTAGTATGGGATAAAGCTAAGTCCCAAGGCACATGAGACATAGGGGGTACATACAGTAGCAGTGTTGCTCGCGGAGTTCGCGGCGGGAGAGGCAAGAGCAAGGCCGAGGAAGGCGAGAGTAGCGAAGATGGAGAACTTCATTTTGGCAGATTTGTTCCTTGTAGTTTGGTTTGTTTAGAGAAGAATTTTTGTGAGTAGAGTGGTTGGAGGATGGAATTGATGAGTGTGATGGATGGGACAAGAAGTAGGCTGGTAGGGGCATTTATATGCTTCTCTGATGCGCGATTCACGTGAAGCGGATAAGAGTATAATCATATCCTGGCCCAGACCAGACCACAATATCCGGAGTCGGTAGGAAAGTAGGTGACAAGATAGCTACGCGCGTGCTGAGGGTGCTGAGGGTGGAGGAGAAAGGGCAATGGTTCTGGAACTATTGGGGAGTGATCTGCAGAGGATCAAGTGGAGATCATCAGTCAGGGGTGGCTTTCTGTCAGAAGTTAGAATTGTAACCAACCATGTTCAACGGCTCTTGCTCGAGCATGAGTGGGGGATAAGACTTTGCTTATTAAAGAGGAAGCATCACGGTGTGTGGTGTAGAAGTATGTACTTGAACCTCATAGGTAGCAGTTGAGGGTTTGCGGGAGCCGTCTGGTACCAGTTGTTATGGGTAAATTCTGTCCAATTCGATGCTGCGACTTACTAAGTTTCTATTCAGGGAAACACTTCCTCAGCACCAGATTACTCCGGAGTAGTGAGCCACTTGATGTCTTCCAGCACGATGTTCCCTCTCATCTGGCAATGATCTCCCTTGGCATACATAATCTCTCACGTTGGCTCCACAACCCACTATCCCTAGCGGTCGGATGGGTCAATAGACCAATATCCATGGTCAAATAATTATCCGGGTCATTATTTGGTGTGTAAACTCAATCATATGCTTCTCGGCTAGGGATAACAGTATGACGAGGTGGAGAAGTATTTGATCGATCGCTCCTGTGACTGCGTGGCTGGAATATTCCATGGATGGCCACTAATATAGCGCATGTATCCGCCTTGCTCCGATAGGCATAAGACTAATGAAAGTCATAGACTGCTGCATCAAGCTTGTGCAACAGACCCTAGGCAAATGGGTTGTCTGTCGAGCTGCGTGGCAAGATGGCTTCTAGTTGCAGTCTCGTTATGCTGGGCTCTCCCTTTTCGATGCAGCGTGTCCGCTTCTCGGAAGTCCAGTATGCTCGGCACGCCTCGGCAGATGTACTACTGTGCCCTTGCCTTCCATGTCTAACTCCAAGAGTGAGGCGGATGTCAGGGAGTAATGATCGACATTTATTGTCACTGCCAGTTCGTCATCGTACAGGCTCGAGCTGTCACATCCTGGTCGCTCTCCATGGCCTAGGATCCCTGTGATTCTGTAGGCTTCCGATTCTCGATAGCAAACATGTGCGACAGATAGCATTACCCTTGCTGTTCCTGCAGGTAAGGCTGTCCAAAATGCCACCTGTTTTGTAAAGTTGCGCAACTGTAGTCATTAGCCGCCGTTTCATAAAGAGAGCAGATAGATTCCGAACTGGACTGGTCTTGAAGATAAGATGGTATATTACACGTTGACATTCGCATTACTGAAAGCCATTGAATATAGCCATTAGAATAACCATCAATTGTTATATGGGCTGTTGGCGTTAGATAGTGTGAAACTCTGATTATTAGCCTCTCGGATGTTTTTTAAATCACTAGCCAAAGTGACTGCCTGTAGCAATTACCAAGGCTTCCGCTTCTTTCGGTCTGCAACAAACCTGTCGCAGACAATGCGAGGTCAATCCCATCAAACACCATTACTGGTCAGAAATATAAGGTTGCCTGTGTGTAATGCCAGGATGCTAGATGGTATTCGGGTGTTGGCCGCGTCTGTCATACTATCATCGCGACTCTTCGTATCAGCATGCGGCAACTGGAGATGGAGCGCTCATAGAACAAGAGATACTCATTTAGAGGTATAGCCAGCTATCATTGGATCTCTACTACTAGTTGTGGTGTAATAATAGAGCGTTCAGGGAAGATTTCCAGGTCGTGAAATGATGTGCTACGTTGAAGCCAGAGCGGGCATGTCGGGTACCTGCCTTTCCGAACGCCGATGCTGGAGGGCTGCACCTTCCGCTTTCTCTCTCGATAACAGCAACATCCATCCATTTCACCGCCACTACCTTTCCATTCATCCCATGTGCCATCATGTCCTCGGCTATGGATCGCTCTAGTCGACCACCCTTTGGGAGTATACGTCGAAGGACGAAAAAGGCGTGTGAAACCTGCAAGCTGCGTAAGCGGAAATGTGACGGCCATGAGCCATGCTCATTCTGCCTCAGATACGAATATGACTGCTCATACGAGGCACAGCCACGAAAGAAGCCATCAAAGCCAAGCATTGCAAGAGCCCCGAACAAATCACGCGAAAGGACTTCCTCTCCGGCACTCGTGGCAAGGCCTGATGTCAATCAACAGCAGATGGAGGCGAACTCCGGCACAGCATTCCCACACTTCTTGGGCAAGAGCTTGAACCCGCAGAACCCCCCAAAAGTGCACGGCTTTAGCTGGAACCTAGGCCTTCGACATGAGCCAATACAACACTTTGCTAATATCACGAGCCTAGTCTCTAAAGATGAAATGAGTGTTCTAGTTGGCCACTATATCGAACGGATACACCCCGTGTATGCTATTCTCAATCTTGACGTGTTAGAGAAGAAGGTCGCCCTGCGCTGGGATGATTTGATCACCTTCGACAGCTATGATCCGGTTCTTTACGGTGTTGCAGCCTTGGGCTCACTCTACTCAGGCGATAAAGGACACAGAAACGAAGAAGCACTGGTCCACTGTGCAAAGGAAATCCTGGAAGCACCCTGCACTATGAACAAACCACTTATACACCATGCTACTGCATGGGTCTTACGGACCCTCTACCTCCGAAGCACTAGCTGTCCTCATACCTCATGGATGGCCAGCTGCTCTGCAATGCACATCATCGAAGCAGCAGGGGCGCATCAGGATCCAGGAATGGTCTCCCTGGTATATTCCGATACGGCAGATGCTGGTGTCGATGAAGAGAGTCAACGAAGGCTATTCTGGGCTGCGACGGTTTTAAATACGTGGATCTCCTATGAATATGGCAGATCTCGCGTCATCCTACGAGGAATTTCGTGCAAGCCACCTGTGCCGCGAGCGGGAGATTTGACCGCGGAACTGGTCTCATTATTCCGGATTTCCGAACAGCTGGATCCCGATCAGAAAAATAGACCTCCAGACCTTGAAGATGTTTTATATCGCGTCGAAGGTCTAACCCTTACCCACGATGCCTTAGTCTTGTCTCAAGCTAATCTAGCACTTACGATATACCGCCGTCTCCGGGTGGCTGCTTCCAGCATTTCTAACGATGTCATAAACTGCATCATCCGGCTAGGTAGTGAAGGGACCGCTGCTGCGGTTCGTATGTCTGAAAAGCGTTCTCCCTGGTGGCATGTTGCCAACGTTCCTTTCCAGTTTCTCTGCATTTTGCTCGCAATAGATTCTAAAGAGTCATTGTCACACGTGGGCCACGCCATGCGCTCATTCAAGACTGTCGGGGTTCACTTTAGTACGCCTACTGTCCATGTCGCCATAGAGACCGTTGATTCTTTGATCAGGTTATTACAGAGGAAGAAAGAGCGGGAAATCACTCTCCTGAAGGATAGCACCCAGGATCAGGAGTCAGGGCTATTTGAACGGAATATATCATTTACGGAAGAGTGCCGTTCACCATGGCAAGGGGTCTTGATCGATGAAAGTAATGCGGAAAATTTTGACTGGGATTGGAACGCTTTTTTCGATGCCGAAATATCACTTTTTGACGACAGGGGACATGGTGGGCAATTCCGGTATTGATGAAGGTTATTGTGGCCGTGGCGCCCAGGATATAACCACCATATTTCCGCTTTCATGGTAGATTTATTACTATCCGGACATTACTATCATGCGTTGTTCTGGTAACCGCATGCAAATAATCTGCTTCAAAGTCTATCGCTACTTTGCGAAGCGGAAGTGGAAAAGGCGGGTGGTGCGGAAGAGCGGACAAAGCGGATACTGCTGTACACATGGTATATCTGCAGGAAGAGCAACTCTGGCTGTTCATTTCAACATGCTTGTTCTGTATTAACCTTTCGATTCCTCTGGTTTCAACATGCAGTCCTTTTGTCAGTATCGACGTCTGCGCAGACATCTACACGAAAGCATCAAGATCCATGGCCCTGCTGCCGCTGGAGATCCTGGTTCACAACCGTCTGGAGACATCCTTGAAGACTTCCAAGATGCTCAGTTCGACAGGCAACTTATAACTACTGCTCCTACGTCTTCTTATAATTCCGTCTCACCGCAAAGAATGCCCGGGGTGGTGCTGCAGAACGGGCGAAGAGTGACTGTGCCAGGCGTTAGCGTCCATTCTGCAACCGATGTTGAACATACCAATGGGAAGGCTATCTTCATAGTGGGATTTGACGGTCCAGACGACCCATTCAATCCGAAGAACTGGCCTGTGAGACAGAAATGGACGACATTGGGTATAGTTGGTACAACGGGTTTCCTTGTGGGGTGGGCCTCTTCCATCGACTCTGGAGTCATCAAGCAGGGAGAAGAGGCGTTCAGGGTCAGTGAAGTGACTGAGTCTCTTGCCACTGCGCTTTATCTGATTGCATTCGGATTTGGATCACTTGTGGCAGCACCTTTCTCGGAAACTGTGGGACGCAACCCTGTCTACCTAGTGACCTTGTCACTTCTTATGGTTTTTATTATGGCCTCCGGTCTATCTCCGAATCTAGGCACCCAGTTAGCATTCCGTTTCATTGCTGGACTGTTCGGTTGCACGCCGCTGACTACATTCGGCGGGAGTATGTCCGACATCTTCGACCTTTTAGATCGTACCTATGCCTTTCCGGTGTGCTGTGCGTTGTCTTTCTTGGGGCCTTTTCTCGCCCCGATGGTCGGTGCGTTCATTGGCCAAAGCCCGGATATCTCCTGGCGCTGGTCAGAGTGGACGTCTCTGATACTCGCTGGGCTTATCACGGCATTCATATTCTTCCTTGTGCCCGAGACCTACGGGCCAGTACTTCTGCAGTGGAAGGCTCGCCAACTACGCGCCATCACCGGTGACTCTCGTTTCATGGCTGAGATCGAATTGCGCCAAACTACCCTACCCATCCGGTTAATGCATAGCTGCTCCCGCCCCTTCAAACTATTCTTCCAGGAGATTATGGTAGCCCTTTTTACGATGTACCTAGTGGTCGTATACATCGTGCTTTTCGGCTTCCTGACAGGTTACGAATTCATATACGGTCGCACATATGGCTTTTCACAAGGATCAGTGGGACTGACGTATATTGGAATGAATGTGGGATTTTTGATTGCACTCGCCATTGTCCCGCATGTTTACCTGTCTTATAAGAGACGGCTTCAAGCGGCCATCGCTAGCGGCCAACCCAGTCTACCACCCGAAGAGCGACTCTGGTTTGCCATGTATGGCGCACCGTGGCTTCCAATATCTCTTTTCTGGATGGGATGGACCAGTTATCCGCCCGTCTCGTACTGGTCACCTCTAATCGCATCTGTGGCGTTTGGGTTTTCCGTGCAGGGCATTTTCATAAGCAGCTATCAGTATTTGATCGATACGTATGAGATATTTGCTGCTAGTGCTTTAGTGAGCGCGACATTCATGCGATATATTGCCGCGGGAGCTATGGTCATTGTGTCTATCCCAATGTACACTAACCTGGGTGTTCATTGGTCGCTTACATTGCTGGGGTGTATCTCCCTGCTGATGACGCCGGTCCCGTATGTCTTCTATAGATTCGGACATGCTATTCGGCGAAGGAGCAAGACTGCCGCAGTGTGACATTCCCAACCATGGCTCCATGCGATGAGCCTTGAAACTCGAGCATCATTGAACAAGCCTGGGCATTCTCAACACCTACAGAGCATTAGGAAAATAAGATGTCAGACAGTTATGGGAGATCTAGTAGATAGTTTAGATGTTATTAGCTGGTGATTTCTTTTTCTTGTTCTTCCCTTTTTTTTTTTTTTTCTTTGTCTCTTGTTTTTCTATATTTTGTCTAAGTGCATGTCTATTCTTATCCACTGTATATGCTGTCACTACTAGTAGTGCAAGAGAAATGCGCAGTACGAAGAAACGCCGTTAGCCGATCGCGAAAACAAGAGCCGACCGACGGCCAATAAGTAGTAGGCGGAGTACCCCGAGGGTTGGAATTGGGTTTGGTTGTGCAGGGTCAAAACTAATAGTAGCACAGTGGTTTTTGTTATATCAATCCAACGCCATTTAGTTTACAAGTGCTATTAAATTGTCGATTTGTTCAGGTCGCAAGGTGGCGGGATTAGGCTCTTGTCATTGCTTATGTTAAGCTTAGCTCGTTTTGCTTTTTCTTCAACGCGCAAGCAGTCACTTTTGAATTAGTGTTTGAAGATCCCGCTGTCACCTATTTCAAGTATGGTCGGTCACCCTATAGTTATCATACTACTATTGGGTTTGATGTCGCTCCCCACAAGACTCGAGGCAAAAGCGGCACACGAATTTCTGGAAAAGAAACCGTTTTCTGACGGGGACGAAAGTGGGACGCACTACTCTCTATTCTAGAAGTAGTAACGATTAGCCTTCCCACTATGGCATCGTTTTCGGATGCCACTTGCAGACTCGCCTATCACTTGTGCATAAGATAACAGTATTATTTGCTGTACCATTTGTGACACCTGGTTTAGAGTTCAGCGGTGAACCTGTCACTAGAGCCAGCAACAGGAAAAACTCAAGATGGACAGCACTGGGCTTGATAGCCAGCCGTGCTCGAGCAACTCTGGCACGCGCTGGATCTTCGGATTCGTCGGATAAGGGTCAAGAAGCCAGCCTGTGCAGCCGCTAACTCCTCCCCGGAAGGAGGAATCGTGATCGGGTCTGTTGTGCTATAGCCTATCGCGGCCGCATATCCAATCGCCGGTTCACCAAGTGGAGCGAACCATCCCCCAACCCGGACTGGTTCTGCTTATCAAGCACCAAGATAACCACCCCCGGCTTGCTTATATCGGGGTCGCCGCCAGTTCATCATCTATCTCTCCATTATTTATGCAACTCCTCCCACCACCGTTCCGGCAGCAGACCAAGTATCACGCTGAGGGCTGTCTTGGGTGGACTGCTATTGTCCAACCACCGTAATCATGGTGTACTCAACGCTGTCTCCTCCACTGGACCTGTCGCATCATTTCTCCTCGGTCACGAAGAGACGGGAAGCGAGCGAAACAAAGAGCCTGTATAAGTACTTTTTCATCCCAGGCATCGCCAACTTGGCCGGTGGTACGTTTACCCATTTGCTTCTTGATCTTCTGGTTTGTGCTTCGGGCATTCACGGCGGTTGCACTTGGTGCCACTTTGTTAACCTCTTGCGACATCAGGCCTGCCAAATGCGTCATACTTCCCCTACGATACCCTCGAAGCTACCGTTGCCCATCCTCAGCGTTTCCCCGCGACCTCCGACAATGACCAGATCAAACCCCCCAGTGGCTCCCCTTCAACCGAGCGCAGGATTGTCCCGAAAGAAAGCCCGACCACCAACCTCTTAAAGAAAATTGATCTTACCACAGCCCTTCAGTATGGAACAGCTGAAGGCCTCCCTGTTATGGCCGATTTTATCCGCCAGTTTACCCGCAACCACCTTCATCCGAATGTCCCCTATGCCGGCGGCCCTAACACTCTCCTCACGTGCGGTGCGACCGACGGATTTTCCAAGGCCATTGAAACCTTTACCAACCCTTGGGATCCTCGTCGGGATTGGATCAGCCAACGCGAGGGCATACTCTGCGAGGAATTCGTTTATATGAACGCAATCCAAACCGTGAAGCCGCGGGGCCTCAACATCGTTCCGGTAGTCATAGACGCGCAGGGCATGCTTGCGCATGGTAAGGGAGGATTGGCCGACGTGCTTGAGAACTGGGATTTTAGAAAGGGCCGTCTTCCGCATCTGATGTACACGATCACGTAAGTTCCAACGATCTGTAGCAGCACTTTCTGTCAAGTTGGCTAAACTTACCTTGTCCGACTGCAGCATCGGCCAAAACCCGACGGGCGGGACCTTGTCGGTCGAGCGCAGGCGGGAGATCTATGCTCTCTGTCGGCAATTTGACATCATCATCATAGAAGACGACCCGTACTGGAACTTGCAGTATCCGTCTGCAACTGCTATGGAGGCCGGATTCCGAGGATCAGATGTCGTAGATGTAACCCCACGCAATTACAACGCCCACGGCAGGTCCTCTGGGTACGATTTCTTGGATTCTTTGGTGCCGTCATATCTCTCCGTTGATACAGACGGGCGCGTTGTACGTCTCGACACCTTCTCGAAGACCATAGCTCCTGGTTGTCGATTAGGATGGATTACCGCCCAGCCGGCCGTAATCGAACGGCTGACTCGTCTCACCGAGACATCAACTCAGCAGCCGTCGGGATTCGTACAGGCCATGGTGGCTGAACTAATTGTGGGCCAGCAATCCGAGGATGGCCAGAATGCCACAGGCGCAAGTAAGAATAAGTCTAAAAAGAGCGAACAAGCCTGGCAGATGGACGGCTGGGTTCGCTGGCTGGAAGGTCTCCGTGCGGGATACGAACAGCGCATGCAGACAATGTGTACCATCCTCGAAGAGGGCAAGTATCTCATCGACTCCGATAGCGCATGGGACGATGCACCACAACCCATGGCGGAAGATGAGAACGCCTGGGAAGTCCTGGATAAGATGCAGATGTATGAGTTCTCCTGGCCCACTGGTGGTATGTTTGTGTGGGTCAAGGTCTGCATTGAGACGCACCCCTTGCTGGAGAAGTATGGCCCGGAGAGGCTGATCCAAGCTTTGTGGCTGCATTTGATGCAAAAGCCGTATTTGTGTCTTTCTGGTCCGGGGACCATGTTTGCTCCTACACAGGAGCTTATGGTTCGAGCGCAGGGATACTACAGGTTGTGCTTTGCGGCGATGCCGGCTGAGGACGTATCGGGCATCACCCGGAGGTTGGTGGATGGATTCCGTGCATTTTGGCAACGGAAGAATCTTGATGGCTTGGGTGATGAGGAGGTTGCGCTTAGTAGGCTGCAGGCAAAGGGCTCAGGGAATTTGTTGGGGTTGGGCTGTTAGAATGGGTCACTTGAATTTAAACTACCATGCACCATACATCCGTCATCTTCGCTAGCGATTATATATTCAGTTTTGTTGGCGCATGAATTTCACCGATTGAATCATCTACTGGTGACAAAGGCCTTTCAGTCTTCAAGTAAAGAAAGAAAAACAATCTCTAACCAGCGATGGAAGTATATATTTTAATAAAAATTATTATGCAGTGGTCAGCCACTGCCTTGAAGGAATCAAACAGCGATCCTGACAAGGGATAGCAAAGGTGCGGGATCCCCCCCAAAAAACAAAAAACGACCCCACTGGGACTCGAACCCAGAATCTTCAGTACCGAAAACTGACGCCCTACCATTGAGCTATAGAGCCAATTCTACAATAACTTTGGTTCAGCTACGGTACACATAATGACAAAAAGTCGGAGCAAATCCGCTCCATCACAGAGATAACCGTCATCGTCCTGGCGCAATGCGCGATAATCTTAAAAACCCCGCGGCATCAAGCCACCCATCACCACCCCCGCCGCCCCGGGCTGCCCAGCCTTTACCAATTCCGCAAAAATGGATCCGGCCCTCGAATCCCTACAGAATACCGATCTGGCGGAAGAAATTGAAGCCATCAATGCCATTTACGAACCGGACACCCTCACTATCACGAACACCTCTACCTCAACCGGCCCCTCAACTCTCGACCTAGGGGGACCCGGCTCTTCGGATTCTTCTCCTCCTTCAATAACAATAAAGCTTCAACTCCCAGAACATCCCCACCTGTCTTTCCTCCTCGGCTTTGACTCAACATATCCCGATACCCCTCCCAAAATCCTAGGAACAGCATCCACAGCCTCGCGCGGAGAGGGCAAGCTCGCCGTCGATGTACTAGAGGACATTCTCAGCCGCACATACCAACCGGGCGCGGTGTGTCTATTCGACCTGATCAACGAAGCTGTCCAGGCGTTCACGGAGCTCAATATCGGCGGTAGCGCTACAGCCACCACCAACAATCATGACACAACCTCCCACACCCAACCAGCCTCCGAAGAAACAACCACTGAAAATGACAACTCTCAATCGCTAACCACAGGATCAAATACTCCCGATTACCATAAATTCAACCTCACCAGCCCACCACCATGGATCCTCTCCGATGTCATCACGGAAAAGAAGTCCGTCTTCGTTGGGCGCGCCGCCTACGTCACGAGTCTGGATCAGGCAAAGGCGTTTCTGGATCATCTGCTCGCAACCGAGAAGAAGGTCGCATCCGCGACGCATAATATTAGTGCGTGGAGGATTCGCGAGGTGAAGTCATCTACTTCTACTGCTGGCGGTAGTGGTAATAAGAATGGTGAAGCTACGGAGATGATTGTGCAGGATTGCGATGATGATGGGGAAACGGCTGCGGGCGGTCGACTACTACATTTGATGCAATTGATGGATGTTTGGGATGTGGTGGTTGTAGTGACGAGATGGTATGGTGGTGTGTTGTTGGGGCCGGATCGGTTTCGCATTATCAATGCCGCGGGGAGGGATGCGTTGGTGAAGGGGGGTTTTGTGAAAGAAAAGACGTCGGGGGAGAAGGGGAAGAAGAAGGGAAAGAAATGATTGATGCATGGTTGGTGAGGATGCGTGCTATGGTTTGTGACATGGGTATGTAGCATGGTTTGAGCCACCTTCGTGGTGTATTCTCATTGCGAGAAGCATGATGGTCCGCGGAGGTTGGAGGGATCCAACTACTCTTTGGACGGTCCTGCATGCGTCCAGTTAGTGATGCGCGCTGTCGATGAGTCCTATGGTCTGAGCCGATCGATACCCTTGGATAGGGATGGCCTGCATTCTCGTACATATGGGCTTGTGGCTCGCAGTTGCGAGGTTGGCGTCTTCGCAAATGGGGTGATTGAATCTACTACTACGTATGTATGATAAGGGCGAGCTAGTCATGAGCTCTAATGACTTTTGATAGAAGAGATGTCACCTGGAAGGATGTAAAGATGAGAGACCTTCCAGGTGAAAGAAATGGGAGAATTAACTTCCGTTTTCGAAAACTATCTTAGAGAGACCTATAGGATATCCTGATGACAGCTTTGCGACGTCACGCTGCAGAGAGTTAAGTATATAGTGGTCTTTATCTCTGCATCACATACCTTATGTACCCGCGCCTTCCTGTTTCGGTCTGTACTGGTGTCATGTTTCATATTTGGTTGCTGTACTCGCCACTAGTAGTATATTTAGCCTTTGTCCCTTCTCCTCTCTTCCCCCACACTTTTCTTCCACTGCATCTGCTCTCTAGCACCCTTTATTATCAAGAGCGCGTCCCATATTACAATAGCATTACCTTACTCGCCGGTATGTCTCATGCATGATCGCCAATTGGAAGAAGAGTATTACATTCTGGTATTAAAACTAGTATGTGTTTACTAACCCTATTATATGTGAATCATACTTCATAAACATAGGAATGTTCCTGCTAAGCTTTTGCCACCTAAACAGATTCCTGTCCTATCTTCCAGAGGTAATCAGAGAAGACATCTCTGGCTTCCATCAAAGCATCCCGCGCTCATTCAATGCCGCCCGGAGAATCTTATGCAATGCAAAGACATTTTCTTCTGCCATCATCGTGTGATGGGAGCCAGGAACATCATGGAACCTGACCGACTTGGAATGCTCTTTCCACCTCATGAGGTGCTGTTTGAGCCAGACATCCTTGTCTCGACCAACAGAAAGCAGTGGGATGGCGTAGAAAACATCCATCGACTGCACAGTTCCAGAAGGATCATATGTATGGGCTAGCTCCTGGAGCTTAGACGACAGCATAGCCCAATCTCGGATCTTTCCTTCATCCATGGCCAGCTCCTTGACGCGCTCTTTATCCGAGACCTTCATGATGGCTGGAAGGACCTCGCTTTGGGGGAGCTAGAAATGATGAACAGCGTCAGTTCTACTTGAACACACTGACATTACCCCCATGGAGATGGCTCACCTTGTGCATGTCTGGGGACATGCGATGGGCATCCTCTTCGGTGATGAACCCGAGGAAGTATACGAGATGAAGCAGCGACTCGGCATAATCCATCTCTCGGATGTGTTTCTTGATATGTGGCGGAAGATTGAGACTACCGAGGAAGCCGACTCTATCGCCAGATGCTTCGACCTTTTTGGCGGTTTCGAAAGCAATCATGGCACCGTACGAATACCCGATGAAAATGTACGGTCCTTCCGGCTGGAGCTCTCGGATGGACTTGAGATAGGTGCTAGTATGTTGATCAGTTGTGGGTTTTCTCTGATGGGACGGTCTAAGTCTTACTCTGTCATTTCGTCGATAGTGGTAAACATCTTTTCGCCTGGATTGAAACCCGGGGCTCGAAAAGCGTACACTTTTCGGTCAGCAAAGTACTTGCTGAAGTTGAGGAACACAAGAACTTCGCCCATTCCGGGATGGAAAAAGAAGATCGGGGGAGCCTTCGATGGGCCATCTTGCAGCTGCACAATCGGGTTATATGGCTTGGGACCTTTCTGGAGATCTTGGAGCATGACTGCCAGTGCTTCAATGGTCGGGTTTTGCAGAATCGTGATCATTGGGATTTCCTCGCTTAGGCCGAGACGAGTCTCCACGATCCTCTTGTATCGAATCAACCGGACGCTATTTACTCCCATGTCATAAAGACTGTCGTCCACACCAACTTCGGACACATCAAGGTCGAACTCGTCTGCAAAAATTCCAGCAAGCGTCTCTTCCATGTTGTTCTGCGGGGCACGCTTGGATCGCGCACGGTACGCGGAAGCTCTTTGTGCAGCAAGATCTCTGTATGTGTTGAAACGACCTTCCTCATACTGCAACTTAAGCTTTGTGCGAGGGAGCTTCCCCAGAGAATTCTTGGGAAGCAGCTCTACTGGGAGTGGTATGATGTCCACAGGCTGCTTCGAGCAGTAAAGAGCAGTGATTCTGGAGATCGAGTTGATAGTTTCAAGGAAGATTCTGTCGTCTTCAGTGCCCTTCTGACTTGACAGGTATAGGACAATGACATCTTCACTGTCTGCATTATCAAGCCAGGATGAGACTACCACCGTATAAGAGGGGACAAGCCCGTCCAGCCCGGCCGAGTCTATGGCATTTTCCAACTCGTGAGAATAAAAGTTGATCCCGTTGATGATGATACTGTCCTTGGACCGTCCAGAAAGCACAAGGTTATCCCTGTTGTCAATGTATCCGGTGTCGCCAGTCTTAAACCAACCGTCCTCGGTAAAGGAAGCCTTGGTGTTCTTGTCGTCATTGTAATAGCCCTTGAATACCATCGGCCCATACAATTCCAGGTTTCCATTCTCGCCGCTTCTCACAGTTTCCCCATGTTCATCGGTGATTCTCATCTGCAGAGTAGGTGTTGCCTGCCCCACAGAGCAGAATTGCAGCTTAGCCTTCTGCTCGAGTTCCGGGAAGCTGTAATGATAGTGGATACCTGCGCATGTCTACCAAAACGCCATATTATTAACAGGTCCGGTGCGCCTAAAAGGTTCGTCAGATGACGCAGCTTACCTCTGTCATACCAAAAGATGGATGGAGGACATTCTTGGCGGCTCCCATTTCGACCAACTTGCGGTTGAACAAGATGCTCGTCGATGCGAGATTGGCTTCACCACCTGAGAGCACCATGCGTAAATGACTCAGATCCAGATCAAGTGAACGAGGATCCCGCTCCTGCTGGGCCTCGATGGCCTTTCCTACCAGGGCCACAAGGAAGTTAGGGGCAAAAGCGTTGGTGACAGAATACTCCGCCATCTTTTCCAGATAAAGAAGAGGGTTCTCCAGAACCGTTACGGCTGGGAGATGAATTTGATGGCAACCCCTGGATAATGCGTGCATGTGCATTTCCATGAAACAGGCAACGTGATCAAACCCTACGACAATGTGTTAGTTGCACCTGTATGGCCCAGGAGTCACAAGAGTCATTCTTACCAATCCAGTTCAGAAAAATGTTTTCTGGAGTGCTTGATAGTGCCTTCCATTTGGCCTCAATTGCGGCGAAGATTTGTGAGTGGTGCAACATCACCGCTTTGGCGTTGCCCGTACTGCCGGAGGTGAGCAGTAGCAGCGCAAGGTCTGACGAAGGACTCGCAGGTTCATAATCTGCGGATTGATCTGCATTCGAGGCCAGATCCTCGATAAAGAACTTTTGAGACTCATCGATAATACTCAAGTCATCTGTATGCTTGATACTGGTGAGGACATTGGGTCGCTCTAGGAGCCTCTGAAGGTGGGTTAGATGCCGCTCCCGAGCCACTGGGTCTACAGCCAGAGGAGTAGACACAGCTGGGATGGATCCGGCTGCAATGGCAGACCAGAACCAAATGATGTTCTCTTTATGAGTGTCAAAATGGACCAGGAGAATCCGGTCAGGCACCGCAATCTTTTGTTCAACTAGAGTTTGGGCATTACGCTAAGAACGATGTGGTTAGCTAAGCTAACATGAAACCACCTGTTGGGACTCATGGTACTGATGCGGGTGGATGCTACCTTGACGAGGCGCCAAAACTCGGGATAAAGAATCGTCTCCGGTTGGTCCTTGCCAACACTGTAAAAGACGAAGCCTTTAGACGGCGAATACTCGGCCGCCTGCTCCAGATATGTCAGGATTCCAGACGCCATTTGGAGCGATGAAAAGTGCCAATGATTCTGTGATTCACTTGGACCCTAACCAGTACAATGCCGGCGTGAGAGGCCACATGTTGAGATTGAGCAGGATGGCCCCAGCTTTTATAAAAATTGCTGGTTATTGCTCGTATTCTCGATAGATGAGCTCTACAGCCATTACAACTTTAGGTGGAGTGATACCTAGCACTATCGCACGAGACATGAGTCATGACGACATAAAGATTCATGAATAATTGCCAGTGGAGCCGTTGATACGGACCCCTGCCTTGTTGGGTATGTAGTACAAGATCTGGAGACAAAGTTAGGAGAAATCTCCATGGCGCTCACAGTACTATTGTTCCTTGGCAGCTTTGTGTGTGGTGCTAATGTATGTTGATCAACAGGCTCAGTTTCCCTAATAGTCACTCGGGTTGTATCACTGTGAGGTAAAGTGCGATAAGGTTAGTTGAGATCTTTAAGGCCCACACGGCATTGTCCTGATGTGATTGCCTACGCCCGGAAACGGAAAGGGCACAAACAAAGCGGATAATCGGCAACGCCTTTCAGCTCGCCGAGTAAGCTCACCGCGCTCTAGCCGTTGGTCTAGAACGGACAGCACTTGCCTGCAAAGTCCATGACACCTATGCTTGCTCAGATCCCCGATAGCTACTGCTTGACACATGTCGGTCGCCCGTGGTCTCGTCTTGTTGCCAAGCCATCTGCCGTGACAATTATTAAGAGTTGAGGCAATCTTCCGCGGAATCCCAAACGCCAAGGAGGTGGAAGCAATTATCTAGTCATCGAGATAGTGGCAGTCCACGGAGTTTCTGGAGTCGCCTTTACAGCAGCTGTAGCATGGTTGCCACGACAAAACGGAAGCTTTCTCGGATGCAACATCGGGATCTAACAAACAATGAGTCAACAGATCTGGCCTTCCTGGATCTATCGTTGCTGGAATTCTAGTTCCGCAGAGAGTTGA